TCTAAATTATAATATATATTATATAAAATCAGAGCCATTTATACTAGTCATGACGGCAGAATAAAACGGTGAATGACTTGGTGACCATAAAATGGTCATGGCTGTTAAATGCCAATTTATGATCATTTTTTTGCCATTTTGAAATCGAGAAAAAGCTGCCTCAAAACGGACATGTAACATGCACATTTATTTAGCATTAGTTAACGCGGTCTAATAAATGGACGAAAATGTCATTTAATGGTGTCCGTAAAATGCCATTTTTTCCAATATTGACTATAGTATGGCATTATTTTCACCGTTATTTCAAAGTAAAAAAGAAGTCATTATAATGGCTATTAAATGCCAATTTTCATTCCATTTTTACACAATTAACAGGCCATTTTTTGACATACAGTTAAGAGGCTGTTAATGGACAATTAAATGACAGTTTTCGTCGACCTGGGTATATAAGCAGTATGCAAATCAGTTACTAAACGACAAAGCGCAGAAAGCAACGTCAATAATAGACAGAACGACAAACACATCAGTAACAAGTCGTTGGACAGCATATCATTTTTTTAAAGTTGGATTCTCAAGAAAATTAATAAAAAAAAAGCACTAAAAATCCTATAGTACAGGACATGAAAGTGAACACTTAGCTTGTTAAACAATGTATTTATCTCAAAATCTAAATTTTTATGAAAAATCATCGTTTTGTTTAGGAGCGGACAACAAAAAACATTAAAAAAGATGTGCATTCTGAATGTAGACACTATATGCCTTGTCTATCTGGAAGATCTTGTTTAGCTGTCAATCATATTATATAAATTATCGGTTGAAATATCACTTGCCAATTCTTGTTTCAGAATGTCGTTCATTTCTCGATATGATTGTTTCATTTCTTGAACATCAGCAGATGGTCGTGATTCGTGAGCCATTTCATATCCTACAAGCCGAACGCTGGCCAAAGCATATATCAATGGTTCGGTAAAACGACAAATGCGAGTCTCTCATACATGAGTCTACAAATGAGCCTCTCGACACTTGAGCTCTTGATGTTTTAGCATAATCAAAGAAAAAATTAAGAATTATCATAATTATAGAATCATTAACAACATCAAAATTAAATAAAAACTCTTGCTCTTTTAAAAATATTCTTTTCACGTGTTTAGATTAAAAGTAGTAATTAACTATTGCAGTTGTTCGTCGACTTGTTAATATGCAGCACGTCTTGTCAATTTTACAAGTCCAGCTTCTAGTTTCTCAGCCATAATTAAATTAGCATACTGTTGCACTTGAAGATCTCTGCCAGATTCATAAATAGATGGATTTATTAGAGCAGAATTCTAAGCAGAAATAGATGACTTATTGAGAAAAATAGTTCGTAGAACCTGATCTTACTTTAAGTACATCCTTCTGAAGAATTATTTGTAAGTGGAAGTTGTTGATCCAAACACGAAAAGTTATTCCACAAACTTATTGAAAAATGAGAGATAGGACCACGAATTCGACGCCCAGTATAATTGCTACAAAGTAATCGACGAAATCTGTACGATTTCAAGAAAAAATTAACTGTGTTAGTATTTTAATCATATAGTAAATTAAACTACGTATCAGTTAGCGAATCAGGAAATTCCTCTTGAAATTACCCAAATTTTTCTACAAAAGAAACTTCAAAACTACATAGGTTTATAAAATGGATCGGAAGCACTTTCGGGATCTGGCTTTTGATTAGCTACCACCAGCTCATTTTTTCTTACAAAACTTTGAAACTTGCATTTCTAGACTCACTTTTTCATGCTGAATCAGAAAAAAATAATTTCCTTTTTCTACGTGCACAATTTCTGACGAACGAATATGTTTAGTAGCTTTTGATTTACTTCCGACTTGAATAAAATTTTCGTTGCCGTCATCTGTTGTATCCATCGCTTTATTCACTACATCTAACGGCAGTATATTTTCCCTTGGTAAGATGATTCCAACACTGGATGACAAGCTAAAACCTTGCTGTAACTCCTTGAGTCTCTCACCATCATGATCTAAATCGTCAGCATCGATTTCGCATAAATCGATCTTTTTTGTACATTGATCGTGTAAAATTTATTAGCGCTTGGGTGGGTGCCGTTGGTCTCATACATCAAAATTTAGTTTTATTTCAACGCATACGATGTCTGCCAATATGTCTGTGATATATTCACGTTATTTTCTGTGGACAAACTGTGAGAAACTGTTAGTTTAATTAGTGGGGCATTATTATATTTTTAACTTATAATTTTTTACAAAACTATATAGGTTTACAAAACTGTTTATAAACTTTTTACAGAGTAAGTCCAAAACGTCCATACTGGATAGACCTCTGACTTCAATCTCGATCAAACACCACTCTCATACTCAGTTTGTTTTTAATGTTGAATTTGATAAAAACACTATCAAAAAGTTAAAAAAAGAAAAAAAAATGTTTTTTGAAACTGAAGTATGTTTGAAAATTTAAACCTTTCGAATTTTTTCAATTTTTTTTTCCTTAAAAAAAAAAAACTTTTCAAAAGTTGAAAAACACTTTCTTATTCAGTTCGATACGCTTTATCCCACTATGTATAAATAAATGGGAAAAAACTCTCGCTCGAACTTTAAATTTTCAGCATTTTAACTCATTTTTAGAGTTTTCGTTTGATATATAGATGTTTAAGACTCGTACCCAAATAATGTGTGCAGGATGTTTAGAAAAAGCATCGAAAAATTTTGCATCTACTGAACTCCGTTAACAAAATCAAAAATCGAATTTAAACTTCAGATTTTCATAAAAACATGTGAAATACAGCAACATGTGAAATTAGCAACGAGAAATAATAGCAGAAAAATTTTTATTAATGCTTTTTTATATCGAAAGATAATTTTGGAAAAGATTAGATGTAGACGCACCGTGTTGGACGATAGTAGAAGAATTTGATTAGCGTAGTTTTTTAATGTAATTAAAACTTATTATACATTTCAAGGGCGCCTGAAAATACTTCTGTCGAGTGTTTGTATCTGTGGTTGATATTATTGTACTTAATATATCTGACGAGTAAAGAAAATAAATTAAAAGAAGAGTGCAAATGAATGCATTTCTTCGAAAAATGAGTTATAATCTGGTATATTTGCGATATTTTTTCTTTAAAGACCATTCGACATAATAAGAATTATCCACGTTGGAAGAATTATCCATTCTTGGCTCTCCATTAAACACAAAATAGCATTGATAGTTTTTTGAAACTAATGGTTAAGTCAGAAATTGATTGGTTACTTCAAGCTTGAACATTTTTGTAATGATAGTAGAACGCTTCAACGAATGTGTTAAACAAAACGGATTAGAGAAGAGAGATGAAGTTTTCTAACAGTCAATCTATGAGTAGAAATCCGCCTTAATTAATGTGGATATGATTTCCTTTACCAATCAATTAATTCGTTCATTTGTATATTTGTATTTAGATATGCGATAAAGTTCAAAATGTTTTTTTTCTTTATGAACCACACACACACACGAACACACGAAAAAAAAACGCAAATGAAATTCTGAAAAAAAAACAACAAACAAGCAAACGAAGAGAGCCACGCAACATAATAGTTATATAATATGAATTTAATTGAACAAAAAACGAGAAAAAAAAAGAAAACGAAACGAAAACCACATCGCTAATAAGAGTAATGATGTTGTGGATAATAGAACATCGGCCAGAAAAAGAAAATAAAAGTAGGTGAAGGCAAAAAAAATAGACAGACACGTTCTGTTTCTTTTTATGTAGTTGAAAAGCTAAGCTTTGTTGTTTTAAAGACAAAAAAAAACTTCTTAAAATAAAACACGAAGAGCAGCATACTGTTGTTTATTCTCTTCCAAAATGAGTCAGCAGACTGGTGTAAAAGAAAAAAATGAGTATTTTTTTTTTCAGTACAATATTGTTACAAGAATTCGACTCATATATGCTGGTTTACGACACAAATTAAAAACACAAACAGATAATATTGTCCTTTTTTTCGACACTCTGATGACAACAAACAAATATGTATAGAGAGATAGATATATTTTACCACGTAATAATAATAATAATAAGACAATAGGAAGATAATATACGGTTAGATACGGGTTTTGAATCTTGGTATGTCAAACAGCAAGGACAAACAAAAACAAAGAGGTAAGAGAAACACATTTAAAAAGTAAATCATTATCAATGTGTGTATGAAACAAAAAAAAATGAAAAGATGAATGTAAAATCAAACGATGACGGGAACGTGTAGCGCGTTATTGCCTGCAGAAAAGAACAGAGGAAAAGAAAAGAAAAATAACTTATTTTTTTTCAAAAATGTTATAAACGACCATCCGATGATGTGACATAATTTGAATATCCATTTGTTGTTGTTGTCATTGCATGTTGTTGCTGTGACCACCTTTGAATGGAAGGTGATATGAGATTATTATTATTCGTGATTATACCTGATGATGTGCAAGAAGATGGACTTGATATTTGTGGCATTGCTTGCTGTTGCGGATGTGATGATATAGAAAATTGTTGTGGTTGTTGTTGTGAACTATTGTCGACTTTTCCCAAAGAAACAATGGCAGGATCTGGCCACGGAGCATTCATCAACCATCGATCATTTGAAATATTTTGGTTAAACGGAACTAAAATAAAAATGGAACAGACTAAGCATCAAAAATTTACTGCAAACCAAAGATTTATTACAAATACCAACGGAATGAAGTGTGATGTTATCGATCAAGTGTACAGTTAAACTCCCCATGTATCTTAAGGAAAAATAGTTACATACCAGTATTTTGTGTTAGATTCGAATATCCAATTGTGTTATTTAGGTGATGATTTGAAATTTGTTGTTGTTGTGACGGAGATGAAGATGGTGATTGTCGTTGCAATAATCGCTGCTGCTGCTGCTGAGGAATTTGATTTGTGAAATCAATTCGAGATGTTGTGTTTAGAGGCTGTGTTGCTGATTGAAGACTAGAAACGGGTATTGATAATGAATGATGCTGTTGCTGTTGTAAGGGAAATATCATATTCGAATGTGATGATGGTATCTGCATCGAAGAAGTGGCCGACGTCGGAATTCCGTTATATTGATTCGTATTCCAGGTTTGTGTAGGCGATGTACCGTCTAAACGAGAGCGAATAAGGAAATTATGCACTCTTACAAGTGTGAAGTAAGAAAGCTCATTTTCTACGTTCGTTCATATTTTTCATGCACAAAAGAACTACATACTATATGACATGTAACGTTTTTGTGATCTGTTTAATAGATCAATTTGTTGTGGGTTGTTATTACTATTTGACATATTCATTGAATTATTATTGTTACTGTTTGGTGAAATATAAGAAGGATTTAAACGGATATTATTATTATTATTATTTGACGTTTGTTTTAATCCTTGCAATTGTAATTGTGTATTTGTATCTGCTGTTGGTATTATTGGATTTAATTGTTGTTCATGGTGGTAATTGTTGTTGAATGGTCGCAGCTGAGATGTGTTTGATATCAAATGAATCGGAGGATGTTGTTGATTAATATATTGTTGAGGTGGTAATTGCTGTGGGTGTTGTTGCTGTTGTGCTTGCAACTGTTGTGGCTGTTGTAATTGTTGCAAATGTAAAAGATGATTTATAGAATTTGTTGTCGAGGAAGGAAGAGGAATATTGTTATTATTGTTCATGAATTTGTACAATAAATTCATATTGTTTGATGAAGATGGTCTTCGTTCATCTTCTATATCTGAAGCAAGTGCCGTCATAAATACACTGCATGGGTCGAAGCCTATGACAGAAGAAAAATTAAGCAAGTTTAAATGGATATTGCAAGTAAATCACACAGCTATGAAGAAGTCCTTTATTTACCTAAATCGCCTTCATCATTCTCCTGTCCTAGTGGATGCAAATCATTATCACGATTGTCGTCTGAAAAAATACAGATACTTGTTATTTAACTGCTAGATAGAAGAATAAAAACGTTATATTTTTGCGATGATCATTATCATAGTTAAGTACGAAAGAAAAAAACTCTTGTTATGAAAAATTCTAAATCCGACCGTCGTATTCTTACCTAACAATCTTTTCAATCGATCATCGTCATCATTAATGTGATTAATCCCATTTTCTTGTATATGATTTGTCGTTGTTTCTCCCCCAAATAAAAGTAAATGTAGCGGTGGCATATTTGAATTGAACGGTTTATATTCGGGTATTTCATCAAAATTTAAATTTTTCACTGCATTTGTTGACGTAGACGAAGATGGTAGACCACCGTTTGGGAGAATAAAATTATTTTTATTTGACGAAGCTGTCGATGAAGTAGTTAATTGATTATTTGACAATGGTAAAGCATTTTGAAACATTGACATTTTGTTTGTCGTTGATGGTTTATTACTATTAGATACTGTGTGATGGGATTGTTGTTGAGATGGAGAATGTGACGATGTGTTATTGATACTGAAAAATGAAGATGATTCATCAGACCAATTTGCGTTATTTGTAGTTGTTGTGGCTGTGGATGATATTGTGTACGGTAGATTTGGCTGTCCGGCGGTGGTAATGGTTGCAGAAGACAACGGTATTTGTTGAGTACTATTGATGACTGTTGTTGATTCACAAGAATATGACGATTGTGAAGAAGATGAAGAGGTGGACGAAGAAGAGAGGGATGGAGGAATCAAATTTGTATTATCGCCATTCGCAGTGGATGTATTGCTAAAGAAGCCAATACAGATTACAATCATTTAAGAAATAAACAATAAATAGTCTAAAAAACCTACGTTGAAAAAGAGTCAGTCTCATAATCATTCATTTGATGCTCGTTAGCAGATGTGAGTCCTGTAGAATCAAGTGTTTCATCACACAAGGAAGAACTTGTACTGGATTCTGGTTGATCGTGGTCGGGCTGTGATGTTGAATCATTCATTATTCTGGTCGTGGTTAATGACTGTAATGACGGCTGAGGAACACCAGATAATGGTTGTAATGTTTTCCGTCTTGGAGGGGATTCTGGTTTATTACTATAACAACAAACAGAGGATAAAATTTGTATTCTATAAGATGTATAATATGCGAGGGACTCTGCTCAACAACGTTTTCTTGTTTTTCTTGTATCGGCGACTATAAACTATAAACAAGAACCATAACTTACCCATTTGTCAATCTTTCACTTCTAGCTAATTGTGCTGCAGTTGTTTTATTTACATACTGTTCCATCAGTTTTCTTTCATATTCTAAATGTAATCTAAAACAGAGAAAAAAATGATCAGAAACTTTTTAAAACTCGTAAACAACTCTCAAAAAGATTATCGAATCTAACTATTGAGAGAGTATAATTTGAAACATTCAGCACAGAATTAGGAGAGGGAGATTTTTTAAATAAAATTTACCCTTGTTGCATTTGTTCTTTTGTAAAGCTTGCTGCTTGATCGCCTGGTTCATGTAGATAAAGACAATCAACTTTTTGGCAATTAGTGCCTTTTAAATATCGACTACAATATTTCGTTGTACCCAATGTGGCTTTCAATGTTCTGCCATCAACATGATAATTACACACAGCTTGTATTGTTCTTAATGCTTCATCTGAACGTGAATATGTGATATATGCACATATACTATTACTTTGACCATTGTGTGCGGGACTAGTAACAATTTTGATGATTTTTCCATATTTCCCAAAATAATCCTGCCTTCTCAATAATTCTGTTTCAGATAAACGTGATGGTAAGCCATTGACAAAAACAAGGTTCTTTTGTACAACCCTAAAGAAGATTCCCAACATAAATTGTACTAAAGAATATAATTTTAAACAGAAAAATACCTCAAATTGGCCAAATGTTTTCGACTTTCTGTAAGCTTTTGTTTTTTCTGAGATTCCTTCAATTTCCTTTCGCGTTTTACTTGTTGTATTCTGAATAGAAAACAGTAATTTAATTATTTTTGTTTTCACAAATAGAAAATAATCAACAATATATTACTCTTCTTCAGTCAAAGGTTTGAATTGTGCAGGATTTTCACTGTATGGCTAAAGAGAAAATATCAATGTTAGATTGACTTATGAGAGAAATCGTTTGCATACCTTTCGACAAGCAGGGCATAGACCATTCTCATCAGTACGAATTCTATGCCAGCAAAATCGACAAATCTATTAATATGAAGAAAAAAAATGTACTTAAGCAAATAGAAGTTGAATATTTTTTCTAAATAAAAAAATTACCTGATATCCACAACTACACGGCAGAAAATTGATGTCATCTGCTTCGAGCACTTCAAGACATAATGGACACTAAAGAAAATTGGAAATTAGCCATTTCTGTATATTTTCAAAAAAATTCAATTAGTTCTTACCTCTAGTGTCTCGGTATCAGTATCCATGAGGTAAAAGACTTTCTATTTATTATCAAACAAGAATAGATAAGTATCTGAATAAATCTGGAATATAAAACAATAGAATACAAAACATATTCAATATTTACATTGAACAATTTAGATTGATCTAGTGTTTTACTGTTTTGGGGGAAACTGAAAATGAGTTCGTAATACATTGAGAAAAATTATTCATTCTATACACTGTTCTTTCATTTACGAGATGATGATAATAGTAACTAAATAAATAAGTACATATTTTTTTGTTCTGCTATAGTTAGATGCAATAGGCCGGTCTGATATCCAACAAAAATATTGCATTTTAATAGCTTCGATGAAAGATGTCAATTGTACTTTTTGTAAAAGCGTTTGCTGATCACCTAATTTAAATTATCAGAGAGTTAGTGTGAAATATTTCTGCTGTAATAGCTATGATTACGATTCCAGTTTGCAGAACCATCTGGTATACTTCGGCATCGAGGAGTAGCAAAGGACAAATGCAATGGCGAACAATGGTCTTCGGTTTTCAGCCATTCTGACAAGGAGAAAAGGTAGTTGCTTGTTATTTGTCTCTTTTCCCATGTTTATTCGTTTGTTCTAATATCCATCAATAGAAAATAAGCTGAGTGCCTGTAAAAAAAAATAATATCATAAGAATTCATTTCTATAATTAATTAGAAAACAATTTCTTTTTTATCAACCAAAGCAAGGCACCGTAGAAATTCAATTTTTTTTCCTTCTGTTCTTTTTTATTTACTTCAGAACTCTAAAGATAAATTACAAATTATTCTTATAGAAATCTTTTCAGAAGAAATAATATTCCATGTTCAAATGGAACAGACTAATCCTAAGGAGATTGCCAGCTGCGTGAAAGCAGCTGTGCGGTAAGTATTTGAATTCTATTTTACCTTGAATGGAAAGCTTTTGAAAAAGTGCTTTTCTTTACACATAAACCCATGAGTAGTTTTTTGTAGCCATTTTTTTCGAAAACAAAATCGACCGTTTCCTGGAGAATTAAATTCTCTTTCTTTGGGTTAAATATTAAACGCAAGTCAATATAGATAAAAATTTGATAGAAAAGTGTTTCAGAACTGTTGACGCACTATATATACTGTTTCCCATACTCACCTACAGCATCTTATAAAAATGAAAGCTCTTCCAGTGTGGGACATTAATCTGCGCAACTTAAATGAAAAACGTAACGATCTGTTATATCGTTGTATGTATCTCTCAGTGATAGACTTGTGATACTCTCCAGTTCGTGAATAATACATAGTATATACAACTTTTTATTATCAGCAAGATGTGTTAAACTCGTTGACTTTGTGTTTTTATACATTCGTTCTCCCCTATTTATTACAGTGTTCGGCCTTTGTCGATTAATGAAAAGCAAGATCTATGCCAAACATGTGTCGAAGGTCAACGTTCGACAAATGAAATTATTTTGGCAAATAGTACCGCATTTACATTCGATTATGTATTTTTACCTGAAACTAATCAAGATGATTTGTACAAAGAATGCGTGCATGACATGATTGAGGGATGTTTTCAGGGGTACAGTGCGTCGATATTAGCTTATGGTCAAACGGGTAGTGGAAAAACATTTACAATGGGCAGTGGTATTGAATATATGGATCACATGAAAGAAGGCATTATTCCAAGAGCAATTGTTCATATATTTCAACGTTGTGCCAGTTATGAGCGTCAAGCAGAAGAACAAGGTATATCATTAGCAAAATGTGTTGTTTCGTGTCAATTTATCGAAGTAAGTAAATATATAAAAACAACGTTATAAACTCAGAACCACATCTAGAAAGTACTTTAGGAGAAGATGAATCTCTTTGGTATGTTTTTAGTGTACGGCTCTGATGGACTACTACCTGATCTCATATTCTTTTTCCGTTGTTTAAGATCTACAATGAACAAATATTCGATCTATTCAATAAAGAAAATATTGACTGTCGTACGCAAAAACATGTTGATAAACACGTTGTGTTTGAGAACACAAACGGTGAAATAACAGTTAGCAATATTACAACAAGGTTTGTTACATCGGCACATGAGGTAAGTAGATATCACACTATTAGTCCTTCTTAATTAAATTTATTCTATTCAGACATTGGAATGTTTAAAAGAAGGAGCATTGAGTCGAACAACAGCTGCTACCCGTATGAATAATGTTTCTAGCCGTTCGCATGCTATATTTACAGTAACGCTACAATTTGATCGTGCTGTTCAATCCTCAAACGTAAGTAGAATGTCGTGTACTACAATACTTTACAATATTGTTTCCAATTTTAGTCAACAACAGTTTCGAACGATATTCGAGAGCATATACGGGCAAAGATTCATTTTGTTGATTTAGCTGGTTCAGAAAGTTTGAAACGTACAGGTGCGACGGGTTTACGTGCAAAAGAAGGAATCAGCATTAACAGTGGTTTGGTAAGACTCGAATCTTTCTCTTCCGGGATAAAAGTCAGTGCATAAATGTTCGATGTATTTTTCTCCAGTTGGTTCTCGGTAATGTTATCAGTGTTTTGGGTGATCCGTTAAAAAAAGCAGCACATGTTCCATACCGTGATTCGAAATTAACTCGTCTTTTACAGGATTCTTTAGGTGGTAACAGGTAAGTGTTTTTATCATAATCTAAAAAGAAATAATCACAATTATATATTTATTTATTTAGTCGTACTTTAATGATAGCATGTATTTCACCAGTTGATCGTGATTTTTCGGAAACAAAAAGTACGTTGAATTATGCGCAACGAGCAAGAAACATTAGAAATCGTGTCAAAGTCAATCAGGATAAACATAGTCGACAAGTTGTTCAATTACAAATGGAAATTGAACGATTAAGAGCGGTTGTTGAAAAATATGAACGTCCGTGTGTAAGAAAGGATTTGTATACGTGCACTAACTAAGACTTAAGAAATTTGCTAGGCTATAAAGACTAACTGGTCTCACAAGCTTGTGTATATCTAAATAAATTTTTTTTATTCTAGCCGGAATTCGATTCAGCTAGTAATAGTGCATTGAGTATTGAACTTGATCGTATTCGATCGTATGTATATACAATACAACGCACAATAGAAGAAACAAGTGCGGCATCGTTAACGTTAAAACAAGATCTAGAATCGATGCGTGATCATCGTCAGCATGATCAACAACCACAGAAAGATGCCAATGAAAATGAACATACATTATTGGAAGAACAATGTAAGAAAATTGCAGACAACTATCAGAACCGTAAATAAAATGACTATTTTTCTTCTTATCATTCCAGTGTTTGATTATGACTACGCATTGAATCAATGTTTAACGAAAAGCGAGGAAATACAGTAAGAATAATAGAAAGAAAATCTTCTGCTTCTGATCTTTTTTTATCACATAGATCTCGCCTATCTCGAATGATTGATGTGAGCAATGTCCTCCGACGAAAAAGTCCAATATCTAATCGACGACGAAGTCGTTTGTCAACAAGTGAGTTGGAAATTCTAAATATTAATTTTTTTCTTCAGATATGTTCTATCTTAGTGAGAAAGAAAAAAAAAATTGCGAAGAGGCTAAAAAGGTAACATTGTGCAACTGAATCTCATTCGTGATGGTGTTTTGAATTAAACTCGAGCTCGACAGCAAAAATATGAAATGAGAGTTGCTGCTTGATTCGTTTAACATTTGATCATATTGTGTCTTGTCAGTTAATAATTGCCATGTGTTTGTTTTTGCACATTTAATTAGATTCTGGAATGAAAAATTATGTTAACTTGCTTGTTGGTAAAAATAACAAACAAACAGACAAATTCAAAACCTTTTTCACCTTCTCAGTTTTGCTACGCACTCATATTGATGCTTATAAAAAGCATTCTTTTTTATCATTCGCTTCACCTCAGTGTATATATCAACAGTTTCTCTTGGTTTTCTTTCTACGTTTTATAGTAATTTTTCTTGAGTGGTATTTTTTTGATTATACTAAAAAATCTCGTGCACTCTACATGTGGCTGCTTTTTATTCTGCGTAATGCTTAAATCTTTAAGACAATTGAGATGACAAATCGATACAGCACTCTAGCCAATTATTTCCTGTAAATATCAGATAGATTGAGCTTTTGATGACTATTGAACTTTTATAGTTGCATGGAAGTATTTTTTAACATTGTCGCTCTGGTGTTTTGTTTCTGTAATATGCTTTGTTGTTGTTGATGGTGTATTAGTTTGATTCATGTTTGGTGTGCATGTATACAGTTTTTAATAGTGTCTCTCTTCTAGGATCATTTTCATGCGATCAATCAATTACGAATGAAAATCAAACTCCGAATGATGAACTTCAACCGTGTATTGAAGATATTCGTCTACAAATTGATCGTTTAAGACAAGAACAACAATTAATTCGCGAAAGGTAATATTAAAATTATCCGAAGTATTTTCTAAAATTATTTTTTTGTTTGTAGTGGTTCTGCTAAGAAACGATTGTGTTCATCGACCATACCCGGTTCTCCTCAATCACCCACTGATGCACACATTCAACCTATAAGATACCCATTATTTACGAATTCATCCGAACCACCATTAGAACTCATACCAATTGAAGAACATGAACCGGCACCAGGAAGCGAAGACGAAGAAGAACAAAACGATCAAGAGAATGAAAATGTTCAGATGTCTGATCAACAGGAACAAAGTAAAAAATCAATGATAGAATTGTTTTGTCTTTGAAAGATGCACAAATTTTTTTGTGTGCTTTAGATGCCCAAGAAGAAAAATTGGTTCTTATAACAACGGAAATTAATCAAAAACAGCGTTGTCTAGAAGCATTGGAAAATGCACGAAAACGAAGTGATGTTGTTCGTCTACGTTATGAAGACAAAATTAAATTATTACAAGAACGTATTACACATGCTGAAGAAGATAAACAGTCAGCCGTGACAAAATTAAGTAAGTATAACGAAAACTACCATATTTCAACGTGCTAGATACTATCTGATACTAATTCATTTTGTTATAGCATCGTGTAGTCGTGATACACAAAATCTTGAAGAACTAAAACTAGCTCGCCGTGATTATGAAGATAAAATACGTCGTCTTGAAGTTGAAAATAATGAATTATCAGCATTGCGTGCTCAATACGCTGTTTGCATTAAAGATGGTGATTATTACAAACGTGAATTAGCAAAACATAACAATGAAATGAAAGATTTGAGAAAAATGAAAGTAAGTTGAATCAATTTTCTACATCTTTTATTATTCGATATTCTGATTTAGGTACAATTAACACGTGAACTACGTCAAGAATTTAATCGTCACCGACAAGCAGAACAAGCTAGAGCACGCGAAATAGCTACATTAAAACGAGTATGTACAGCAGCATACACTTTTCAACCATATTTTTTGTTTGCATCGAATTTTAGACTCAAATACAAAAGGAAAATGAAATTCGAACATTACGTGCAGCACACAAACAAAAAGAAATGATATTGAAGCGAAAACAAGAAGAAGTACGTTGTTTATCAAGGAAATTGTTAAATGACAACCAACAACTATTCTTTTTTGTTCAGGTTCACCTGCTTCGTCGTCAAATGCGTACTGCGCGAATGAGAAAAACGACAAATGAAATGACTGCACATTTTTCATCAATTCAACAAGGAGTAAGAGTGTTTCAGTGTGTGTATATCCATTCATATGATATTATCAATATTTTATTTCTTCTCTTAGATTGCTAACGCTATTCGTCGTCGAAAACTGATTGCTGGTGTTAATCGTGATATGAAATCATTAATAGAGAATCGTGAACGTATAAGTCGAAAACGTGAACGTCATCTTCAACGTTTAAGTTCCGCAATTGTTGCAAACAACGACCAAAAGGTAACAAATCGCAGGTTTAACTTTATACGTTTTATAATTAGACATATCTTGTACTTTCGCTTAGGCTGACGATCAAGCGTGTAAATTACGTGAAAAAATTACAAAATTAGAAAGTAATATTACGTATCTGAATTCTCAAATTGTTTCGTGTCAACAATGTTTAATGGCTTATGATGAAGAAGATACAAACGAATTGCAAGGACCAGATCCACAATTGATTGTCGATTGTGTCACAGATACAGATGAATTGCGTTATTTATTAACAAAAATGATTGAACAAACTGTTGAAAAAGTAGGAGAATAATTTTAAATTAATATCAGCGGTCATCGTTAACACCAAATGCAGGCGGTATTTGCTGTTGAAGACGTAATCTCATTGAAAAAAGTTTGAATATAACTATACTATATCATGAGAACGTTTTTTTGTATTATTTAGGGTTTTGAAGCCGAAGAAGCGAACGAAATGAAAGATGAATTACAAACAGAAGTGAATCAATTTGAACGAACAATACGTTTACAACAAGAAATGATTATCGCATTGCCAACATCAGCGAATACAACCACAACAATATCAACAGCAACAACACCAAATGGTTTACCGTCCACACTAACAACCACAACAACAACAGCAGCTAAAAGACAAAAAGCTTATCCTCCATCTAAAACAAAACGAAAAAAATCAAGTGATAACAATATTGAAGATGATTGTGATTCAATTGATGAAATTATTTTGCAGGTACTGTAACACTCTCTACTTATGACATAACGTTAGTTGACAGATCTATGGTAGGAAAAGATGTTCATTATGATATAAGAAAGTCTTAATTTTCGTTTATTAATCATTTTCTAGCCACATTGGGAAGATAATGAAACAACGGATGAGGAAACAGAAATTGGTGGAGGGGTGGATGATAGCGATGATGAGGATCGACCGCGTGGAATTCTTCAGCCAATATCAGCTGTTGACTCACAACAACCGAAACAACAGCCATTATTAAATAGTACTCCAGTCAGCAATCACAAACAACAATTATTGCCAATAAATACCTATATAGTAAAGAAACCAAATAGTAATGTGGTACAAATACAATAATGATATGAGACTGTTATGAACTCTTTTACTTTTTGTTATTTATAAAATTAATAATAATCCATTCTTCTTCCTCTAACATGTATATCATTCTATTCTTATTTGGTTTTTTGGTGTATGCTTTTTACTTCATTTATTTCATGGGTGAGCCGTATGATCTTGTATTTTTTTATTTGTTTCTTGTTTACATATGTTAGAACTGGTGACATAGTGTCTCTTTTTCTCTTTAAAATAAATGTTGTTGTAGTTCAAACAAAAAGTATTTTTTGTTATTATTATTATTTTGTTCTCTATTTCAAATTGAATTTTTGTAAATATGATTTAGAGTGGGGTGTGAAACGTTATTTTTATCGTCCATTGAACATATGTCCATTGAACGGCAAATGTATAGCTAGTAATTCTTCCAAAATGGCACTTTTTTTCTTGGATATTAGTTATACTGGTGTTTTTTCCTCACTCTCTGTCTCTTTCTTGCTCTTTAGAAATTCTTACATATGAAATTACTTACATGTGTTTGAGTGTGTTGGATACAGTATTCTTTCTATTTCTATGTTTTTCATATGCTTTTTTTTTCTTTTTTTTTGCTAGATTTGCACGTATAATGTAAGATAAATATTCAGATAGAAAAGAAATGAAATAAAACTTATCTCGTAGAGCAAATATGTCTGTTGAATATGTTTTCTTGCATTTTAGTTTTTATATATGGTAGATATGAAAAATCTTAAGTTTTAGGTCTGTAGATTGGTGTGATTTTTTGATGTAATAATGTCATCCAATTCATATTTTTAAACCATTTATGATATTTAATTTCAAGTATAACCATCTCTCCTACAGCCATAACGTAAATCAACTTGAACACACAATAAATGTTGAATAAAATCGTTTAGTTCTAACGAAAATGATTTGGGCCTTGTATAATTACAGCTTAAAATATTTTCATATATCATATTTTCATCGGAATGTTGAAATGGTGATTGACCATGTACCATTTCGAAAAGCACGACACCTAGAGACCAAAAGTCAGCCAATGTTTTATGATCTTTTCCGTGAATTATTTCCGGTGCCATGTAATCAGCAGTTCCTAGATTCAAAAATTCAATATTATTAATTTCTGATTAATGGAAGAATATGGCATTTTATCACATATGCCATAAATGTTCGAGTTTTAGTCACTTTTGTGAAGCCAAAATCGGTTAGTTTTAAATATCCGAGACAATTTAAAAGAATATTTTCTGGTTTTAAATCACGATGAATGATATTTAAAAAATTTAAATACTCTAAACATAATACCAAATGTGCAATATAAAATTTAGCTAATTTTTCGAGAAATTTTCCACATTTTTCTAATTGTGTATAAAGTTCGCCACCATTAACATATTCCATGATAATATAAATATTTGTCTTTCGAATAACTTTTAGTCGATATAATAAATGGATGAATAAGACCGACTAGAATTTTACAATCTAAAGTTAGAAAAATAAGAAAAAACAATTTTTTAAAAATGAATATTTTCAGTATACTTGCCTTGGAGAACAATATCATAATCATTCTTGTGTACTAATGTACTACGTATAAATATTTTAACAGCGTAAATCGACGTACCGTATGTAGCTGTTTTGACTGTACCATATACTTCCTTACCCAACTAAACTGACAAATCCATTAATATGTATTTGAACACATACGCTATCGTATCGTTCGATCTAATTTAAATTGTTTATTAGATTCTGGTATTGCATTATCTGACGTGTATTTCTGTTCAAAATAATATGCTACTAAAAAATACTACGTACGAATCGATGGAAATAGTAACAAAAATTTATTACTTTTATCTTGTACCAAATCTAATTGAGATATTTGAAATTTATAAGTCATTTATTTTGTACGACAAAAAAAACAAAAAATGATAATATTTTTATTTGGTTCTAACTAATAGTTACCGTGACAACTGTAGAAGTAAACATGTGTAAGTTAGAAGTATAATATTTTTGAATACACTATTGTAACGAAACAAATCAAAATCATATGTTCAAATGCTGTCAAAAAAATTGTCCTTTTAAAACTTTTCTTTTTTCCCTTCTATTGTGCTGAGCTGGGTATTTTTTAAAAAGGTTAGTTATTCTATTCACTATAAATTGTAAAAGTGAAAAATTAGATGAAAAATACTGAAAAACTTCAAAGTGATCCACTTTTTTAACCAAAAGAACAAGTTTTGGGGTTTATTCCTTTGCTTGTTGATATACGGAAAAATCTAACTTGCCATAGTGGAATGCTCTCACTTCTACTTTTAATTAGAACCTCTTCGACAATACAAATGGTTAAATAAAATTTTTATTTATTGTACAAAAAATAAACATTATCTCACTGATTATTCCAGATATTTAGGTATGCATCAGTTATGGACCAGTGGGAGGGGTATCTTGAAAAATTGTTATAACGCGTTTAATAAGAATTACTTTGACCTTCGAAATGTCATATTTTTGCGAAGAAATATGTTGTCTATCTGTTTTCATTCGAAATTGCTCATATTTGTACCATAATTAAGTTCAGACTTTTTTTTCTTTCTATAAATAGATAGATCAAACATTTTTCTATAGAGATAAATTCGATCTGAATATACAGTTTTGTTCGGCATTTGATGCTGATATAAATTTTCCAAAGAAATGATGGTCAAGAAAATGGCTTTATTTTAATTACTCTTTTTGTCTATGTATTTCAGTAGTGTCTGTTGTTCACTTTAAAGCGTGTTACATATATGCTATTATTGCTGCTAATATCATGTAACATTGTAGAAAACAAAATATTAAACATTTTAAAAAGATTTTTACATTATACAAATTGTAGTAGAAAATTTTACGAAATAAATGAGTGTTACAAAGCATTTCTCCGACTGATCATGAAAACAAAATGAAAACATTTTTGTCGATGCTGTCTGTTGCAGGAATGAAACCTGATAGTTTTGAAGCCGCTTCGTATTTGCATGAAATGATATCTAAACAAAAAGTTTCATCAAAGAATATTAATACCAATAACATCGCGGCACATAAAGTTCTTAGTAAATCGTATGTGACAGAAGTTTAATATTCGTCTGTTTTATCGAGTTCAACAGAATCCACGCCAACTTCTTCATAATCCTGAATATAAATAAATATTCCAGTTAATATTATTTATAGGTAAACATAATAAAGTAACATACTTTTTCTAGAGCAGCTAAATCTTCACGCGCTTCACTAAATTCACCTTCCTCCATACCTTCACCGACATACCAATGAACGAAAGCACGTTTTGCATATAGTAAATCAAATTTGTGATCAAGACGTGCCCATGCTTCGGCAATGGCTGTCGTATTGGATAACATGCATACAGCTCTAGGCACTTGTGCCATATCAGATCCGGGAACAACGCTCATCGGTTGATAATTAATGCCAACTTTAAAACCTGTTGGACACCAGTCAACAAACTGAATAGAACGTTTCGTTTTGATAGTTGCCACTGCTCTATTGACATCTTGTGGTACCACATCACCTCTATATAACAGACAGCATGCCATATATTTTCCATGTCTAGGATCACATTTCACCATTTGACTTGCTGGATCGAAGACAGCTAGAAAAATACCAAACACACGTTAGTACAATGAATGAAGACGGCAGTTTTAAAATAGAAAAATCTAACCATTTGTTATTTCACCGACACTAATTTGTTCATGCATTGCTTTTTCGGCCGAAATAATTGGTGCATATGTTGCTAATGGAAAGTGAATACGTGGATAGGGTACAAGATTTGTTTGAAATTCATTTAAATCGACATTTAATGCTCCTTCAAACCGTAACGATGCTGTTATGGAACTGACAATTTGTGCAATTAAACGATTTAAATTTGTATACGATGGTCGTTCAATATCTAAATTTCGTCGACAAATATCATAGACAGCTTCATTATCAACCATAAATGCACAATCTGAATGTTCCAATGTTGTATGTGTAGTCAGTATTGAATTGTACGGTTCAACAACAGCTGTTGATATTTGTGGCGCTGGATAAACAGCAAATCTGAAAACAAAATCACAGGGAGGAATTAATCTTGTACATAAATTGTTTTATTTTTACTCAAGTTTTGATTTTTTTCCATAATCAACACTTAAACGTTCCATGAGTAACGATGTGAAACCAGAGCCAGTACCACCTAGAAAGAATCAATAAAGGTTATATAGCTCAACGTTACCACTTTGAAGGTATAAGAGCTAGTCTCTTTAACGAATGCTACACGTGTACCTCCAAATGAATGGAAAATCAAAAAGCCTTGAAGACCATCACCTAGAATGAGATAAGGAGTCATAACAATACTTATTGCTTAAATGATGATATACGTACATTGATCTGATAGTTTTCTCAAACGATCAAGAACTAAATCAATGATTTGTTTACCAACAGTATAGTGTCCTCGTGCATAATTATTAGCTATGGATTAAAAAAGAAATTAGTTTCTAGTTATTTAAACATCAATTTCAAAAGGAACATACCTGCATCTTCTTTATCCGTTATTAATTGTTCGGGATGATAGAGTTTTTTGAATGGACCAGTTCTAATCACATCGATAACACTTGGTTCCAAATCCACGAATATTGCACGTGGTACATATCTATTGCCCGTATTGTAAAAAAAGGTACTAAACGAATCATCTTTTTCGTTTGTACCCTTTTTTGTCATTTGACCATCCTCGCTAATTCCATGTTCTGAACATAAATTTCATTTACTAATCACGGATTTCTGAAAAACTCTTTTATTACGTACCTAAACAATACAGTTCCCAACATGCATTTCCAATCTGCACACCTGCTTGACCAACATGAACAGATAGACACTCTCTCTAAATAAATTAATTTGTACAGAATGAGTAGATTATTAGAATTCTTACTGTTAATCTTTTTAAACTTGTACCATTTTCAATTGTACTTGGATCAAATTGGTTCCGAATAGTGTATGTAGTAGATCGGTCGTAGTAAATGATTATTGTACAAAATATTTTGTTTTTCGTTCATTCTGTTCCACATGAGTGACTTGCTATTGTCTCCTTACAACAAAATGAAGAATTCGCTACATGTTGAACTTTAACCGTCTTTCTTAATTTGAAGAAGCAACATCTATTTATTTGTGTTCAATAGTAAAGAAATTCTACTACCTATATAGACACTGATGGATCAATATAAAATCATATGGTTTTTTGTAAAGAAAGAAAGTTCATATATTTGATATCAAAACTCAATGAATAGTTCATGTTTTCATTTTTTTTATTTTGATAAACATCTAACTAAATTTCAGCTATATTCTTTCCAATTTGTACGGTCCATGTTGCAATAATGATAGAATAAACAAGAATTCAATAGTTTTGTTTCGAAACATTTTGATGGAATAACGAAAAGTACTTCTGTAAACAATGAATGTAAACTTCACGTAGCTCTAGATCATTAAGTTGGATACAACCAAAGGGCATTTGTCTGTCAGGAGATTAATATACGTGCATTCAATAGCCTTGTCCTAAATTGAACCTGAGACTGAACTGTAGATAGATAATAGGATGACCAATAAGATATTGTTTCATCTTTCTATTAAGTTACTTTCTAGATATATTTGGGTATTCTAATGCGTATACAAATTTTCTGCTTGATCATAAATGACATATTTGTGTTTTATATATGTATATAAAATACAAATCGACTAAAGTGTTTCTCAAAATAAAATGGAATAAACGAAAATTTTAAGAAAAATTCTGGCTGATCATTATATGGACTAACGACGGAACCTCTTGAGGTTATAAATCGCTTTTGAACTCGGACTACTTGTATCTTGTAGACCTCAGTGAGTAGTGAAATACTCTAAGTTGGTTCATCGCCATGGTGCTTTGTTGCTGAGATATTGAATTTTTAGTCAGTTTTTGCCTATAGAGCTTGGATTTCGAGCAAAATCCGACTTTCGAATTTTGACTTGAAACTTGCCACACTGGTAGCCCATGGTCATA